GTTTGGATCCAAACTATTGGTACTTCAATATACCAGGAAGCAGGTTTCTCATCCCCATCAAAATATTTATTTTATACCTAAAGGCTTAAAAGTTTAATCAAATCCAGTCAAAAGAAACTTCTTATTGCAGATATGGATGAAGAGATTCTGAGTTTGGAAGTAGAGAACAAATATAGTTCATAAAAAAGCCATTTTGTACGATCTTAGTTATCAATGTTACAAAATTCCACAACTAAAAGAAAATAGTTGGGCAGAAACTGAACATATGCTGCTGATGCTGATTTTTTTGAATGTCATATTAAATTAAGCGTTCATTTCCGTGTGTTTTGCTCCTATAATTTAGTAATAATATAACGCATGCAACGCAAGATGTGAGGAACAGCGGAGGCTGTAGGCTCTGCTTTGCACAGGCGGTCTGGAGCACAGCAGGGCGGAGATGTACGATGCAGGATTTCAGGGTTATGCTGCGATTTCCTTTTAACAGAACAGGAAAGTTGGTCAAAGTTTCTGGAAATATTTATCCACAATGCAGCCTGGAAGAAAACTTTACAGTAGCTGTATGAAAAAACTGTATTTATTGATTGGACCGGCCCAGTCAAAGTGAAAAAATACCCAACTTGAAGCTCTACCAAAGCTATATAAGTAGACGGACTGTATATACTCTATATACCCCACACACCTTCTTCTTCTTTTTTAATATTTGAGCTAATATAACTAAATTTCTCCACTGTGAGATCATTAAGTCAATTAATCAGCTGGTAACTGCACCCACATGTGGATCCGCTAATTATAACTTATCAGTGTCAACTACTAAATGCCCCATCACAGAATTTCACTTTTAAACACCTTTTTCCTCCAACTCCAAATTTATGAGCTGTTTTAAAGCGACACCATTCACTCAGAAAGATCATGAAGCATCTTTGAAAAGATTAATTCCCCATAGTTTACAGCCAAACAGGAAGTCATGAAACCATAATTCCATCTCTATGTATGCACCAAAGCATGCACACTGCAAAACACACCTATAAACAGGTAAGTTAAGTGCATTTACCCTTCATTTGAGTAGGTAAATAAGATGATTTGCCAATGGAATGAGTATTTTTAGCCACTAAAATAAGATAATTAGATACTTGTAATGAGACAAAGCAATTGTTTTTTTTCTTAGTTTAAATGTTCATTGTCTTGTTCCAATGGCAAACTGCCTCACTTACCTCCTCCATTGAAGAAAAAATGACTTATTTAGGTTTCTATTTGTTGCAGAGCAAATGCACTGGAAAAAAAAATCAAAATCTAGATAAGTCATTTATTTTTAAATTAAGTGCATTTGTTCTCGAATTGAGAAGGTAAAAGAGACATTTTGCCATTGGAACAAGACAGTTTCCATTTAAACTTTAAAAAAAATGCTTTGTCTTATTTGTACGGAAGAGGATTAGGGCCACTGAAAAAAAAAAGGTTAATTGATTTTTAAATTTTATTTCTGTTTAGTATGGGGAAAAAAGTCAGAATTCTGACTTTAATCTCAGAATTCTGACTTTGATCTCAGAATTCTGACTTTTTTCTCAGAAGTCTGAGATCAAGGTCAGAATTCTGAGATTAAAGTTAGAATTCTGACTTTTTTTCTCAGAAGTCTGAGATCAAGGTCAGAATTCTGAGATTAAAGTTAGAATTCTGACTTTTTTTCTCAGAAGTCTGAGATCAAAGTCAGAATTCTGAGATTAAAGTCAGAATTCTGACTTTTTTTCTCAGAAGTCTGAGATCAAGGTCAGAATTCTGAGATTAAAGTTAGAATTCTGACTTTTTTTCTCAGAAGTCTGAGATCAAAGTCAGAATTCTGACTTTTTTTTCCATGTTAAACTGAAATAAAATTTAAAAAGCACTTTTTTTTTTTTTTCCAGTGGCTCTAATCCTCTTCCGTATGTTTCAGGTGCATTTTATCTAAACATCTTCTTTTAAGAGTAAAATTACTCTTAAAATAAGACCTAGGATTTTTACTCATTAAGATGCAGTAGGAGATCTTTTCTGATGCATTTTTTACCATGTGGCTTAAAAATCTCCCCACAGCCACTTAGCAAGCAGTGAAATAGAAGGTCTGGAAGTGAAACGAAAATAAATGCTCTCCGCTACAGTGAGAAATCAATGAGTAACGTCCACCAATCACAAATCACGGTCCGTTGTACACGATTGGTTCCTGACACGTCAAGCGTGGTCGTCTGCTTGCCCCTCCCCCCTGTGCGCGTACCCTGACAAATGAACGAATCGACCCCCAATGATCGCGCAGGACGCCATGGCGGGAAGCTAGCCACTGTTATGCTACGTTCAGAACGCAAGGAGAAAGCAAAAAAAAACACGCGGGCTGCTGTATTTTAGATGCTTGTAGAAGTTTAGTTCTGACGCGAAGCTGAAGCATCTTTGCTGCTCTGGCTGCGCGGTCAAAAAGTGGGTCTGATGCACGTTGGGCGGAGCTACTCTATCCTTGCTTTGCCTGGAACAATGGCAGCTATATTTGCTGTGATCAGCAAATATATATAAAATGTAGTTTAAATCTATATAACATCGTCAGCGCAGTCATCCAGATTACCATCCTGCCTTCAAATATTGTTTCTGTCAGAGCTGCTCAGACCCCCGTACACCGGCGGTGCTCTGTCAGTAGGAATCCCATTCAACAGCAGCCTCTGGCCCCGTCGCCTCCTTGCGGTTTTCCACGGCTGCTGGAAGGAGTTTTTCATGTACGTGATCCAAACTGCAGGCATCGGGATAATAAAACCGAACATGTTCTGCTGGCAGAAGTTAATTTAGGCGTTAATAAACCATTTCAGAGAATTGATCATAGCGCTCTGCATCAGCAGCGCTGCCTGGACCTTTTGCTGCGCCGTGATGAGCTTCAATCATTGACTTTGCATGTAAACTAGCTGCTTTTGCTGCCTCTTCTGCTTTAGGTGTGAACGTAGCGTTATGTTGTTGTTAGCTCGTATCACGAGCACTCGGTCTAGGCTTGTTTCATTCTCTATCTCATCTGAACACCTCGACAGACAGCAACACGTTCCTGTGTTTCGAAGGCTTGGTTTCGAGGGGTGGTCTGAAGGAGAGGCATGGTTGTGTCCAACTGTTTTTAATATTCTTTTTTTTGTTTCTGCATTTTTTTTATATATATATTTTTTCCTACTTGCTTTGATTCTGTTTTATTTTCCTATATTTTAATCATGTAAAGCACTTTGCATTGTCTTTGTACTGAATTGTGCTATACAAATAAATGTGCCTTGCCTTGCCCTTGTGTATGTAAAAAAATATACCTTGTTGAAACCGTTTTTCCAAGACCTCCTATAGCACCTTTAAAATAAGATGTTTAGATAAAATGCACTTGAAATAAGACAACGAAATATATATATATATTTTTTTTTTATGTAAATCGTCTTGTTCAATTGGCAAAGTGTCTCACTTACCTCCTCAATTCAAGAAAAAATGTACATATTTTAAGAAAAAATGACTTATCTAGATTTAGTTTTTTTCCAGTGCACTGGAAAAACAATCTAGAAATAAGTAAAATGTCTTAAATTAAGTGTATTTATCCTTAATTTTAGTAGGTAAATGAGAGTTTGCCCATGGAATGAGTTTTTTTTACTTATAAAATAAGATAATTAGATAAAATGCACTTAAAATAAGACAAGGCAATTGTGTTTTCTTATTTTAAGTGTGAATTGTCTTGTTCCATTGGCAAAATGTCTCTTTTAACACCTCAATCCAAGAAAAAATGCACTTATTTTAAGGAAAAACTGACTTATCTAGATTTTATTTTTTTCAGTGTAAAGCACAGCTGCACTGCAAAAACTATCTGAAAATAAGTAGACATTTTACCCTTAATTTGAGCAGGTAAATAAGATAGTTTGCCAATGGAATGAGTATTTTTACTTATAAAATAAGATAATTAGATAATATGCGCTTGAAATAAGACAACGCAATAGTTTCTTCTTATTTCAAATGTAAATTGTCTTGTTCCATTGGCAAAGGGTCTGACTTACCTCATCAATTCAAGGAAAAATGCACTTATTTTAAGAAAAAATTACTTATTTAGATTAAAAATTTTTGCAGTGTGGATGCCTGTCTTTCCTCTCTGTACAGGCTGCCACACTGGAAAAAAATAAGTAAATTTTTCTTCAATTAAGTTTTTTTTTTCCTGAATTGAGGAGGCAAGTGAGACACTTTGCCAATGGAACAAGATAATTTACATTTAAAATAAGATAATTAGATAATTGTATCTAATTATCTTATTTTAAGAGTAAAACTACTCATGCTATTGGCAAACCATCTCATTTACCTACTCAAATTAAGGATAAATGCACTTAGTTGAAGACATTTTGACTTATTTCTAGATGTTTTTTGCAGTGCAGTGCAGCGGGAAATAGGTCAGGATTACTCATAGAGAGCTGAGCAGATTGTTACCTAGTGGGCATGAATAGCACATTGAGCCAGACTGTAACTATCAGACACAGCTGCAGGTAGAGGAGCCACACCTTGTTGCAAAACACTGCTTTTTCTAAAGTGGCACAAAACTTTATTGCATTGGAATTAACCCTACTATTGCCGTTAGGATTTGTGTGCATGTAGTCAAATAAAACCTGTATACTCTGTATATACATACCACATACTCTGAAATAGGAGGCTTTAAGAGGGACAATAAAACACCTGAAGGTAAAATGAGGGATTATTTGTGTTCCAGCAGTGAGATTAAGCTGAGGAATGACTGGTATGCTCTCTGAACTCCTGGATCTTTTCCAGGTTTCCACCTTTAGGGTCATTTTTTCAGTTTATACTAAAACATTAAGAAGCAACCAGGAAGATTAACTTCCTTTAATTAAAAAAAGCTTAAATTGATGTTTAGTTTTCAAACAGAAGGGATAAAAAGACAGAAAGTTTCCCCTGCAGCCCGGTTTGTTTTGAAGTTGAAGGAGTTTCTGCTGGAGTTCAGTCTGAAGCAGTTAGAAAGTAAAGAAAGCGGCTCTTACCGACACCGTACTTCTCTTTCTTAGTGGGAATCCAGCGGGTCATAGCGGGGGGGGGGGGGGGGATGAACAGCTCAGACGAATAAATAAATTACTATGTACACTTGCTGAACGAGGACGGGCGGTGGAGACTGCTGCTCGTCCCGAAGCCTCACAGTTCCGCCATCATGACTTGGAAACGAGGGGGAGGAGGGGGGACATTCAGCTCCACAGCAGGGGCGGAGCTAAATGGGGGGCCAGGGCTGGCCATGGCTACCCTTAGCCAATCTAATGCTATGTTCACACTAAAAGCAGCAGGAGCAGCAAAAAACGCGTCTGCTGCTTCATTTTTGATGCTTGTGTAAGTTTAAGCTAACCTGACTCCGCCAGATGGATCTGCTCCGCATATCCATCTGGAAACCTTCCGTTGAAGTAATTTTGGGAAGGGGCGAAAATACTGGTTAGCTGATTGGCCTATGTTGGTGATAGACGGGCCAAATAAACCAATCAGATCAACGAAGCATATGACGTACTAACAGAGCAACGACGAAGAGGAGCCAATTGATAGATCAAACTCTTGCCGAAACCAGTCGGGAGAAGAGCAAAAACATCTTTTCCTCTGAGTAAAGCCTCCAGAGCAGTGTTTTGCTCTTCTTTCAGTGGAGAAATACTCTGTAATTCCGATAAAACTTGCTCGATAGCCACGCTAAGGCTAGTTTCATCGGCTGAAGCCGCCATGTCCTTTAGACTGAACTGTCGCGCTTCTCGTTGCGTCACACCTCAACCCGCCTCAAAGCCAACACTGATTGGACGTTCGTTTCGTGAACGGCTCCAAATTTTCTTTAACGGAAAGTAGCCAGACTGATTAGCGAGTGAAACCTTGAAAGCTCGCGAGATCAGGATGGTCTCAGGAGGCTAAGTTTAAGCTGCGTTCACACCAAAAGCAGTAGAGTCAGCAGGAGCCGCTAGTTTACATGCAAAGTCAATGTTTGACGCGCGTCAAGGCGCAGCAAAAGGTCCCGCAGCGCGTTTCAGCAGCAGGAGCAGCAAGTCTGGAGGGTTTGAGCATCTGACCTGCGCAACGTGCCACAAACGCAGCTGCTGCTCCAGTTGGAAAAAGTGAACTTTTGCTGCTGGACGCGTCGCATCAACCAATCAGAGAAGCTGATCTGGGAGCTGGCAGGGAGACAGACACATCGCTGATGATACCTACCTCTATGATCACTCCTCTGAAACAGTTTCTTAACGCCCAAATGAACTTAAAATGTAGAAACATGCCAGCAAAACATGTTCGCTTTTATTATCCTGGTGCCTGGAGTTTGGATTACGTACATGAAAACCGCCTTCCAGGCGCCACGGCAAACCTTGAGGAGGCGACCGGGCCATAGGCTGCTGTTGAATGGGATTCCTACTGACAGCGCACCGCCGGTATGTGGGGGTCTGAGCGGCTCCGACAGAAATAATATTGGAAGGCAGGATGGTAATCTGGATGAACTGACTGCACTGATTAAGTTTTCAGGTAGATTTTCCCACTTAAAAACATATTAAAAATACTTTATTCCCACTGATCACAGCAAATATAGCTGCAAGGCAGAGAAAGGATAGTGAAGCTCCGCCCATCGCGCGTCAGACCCACTTTTCCACCGCGCAGCCAGAGCAGCAAAGCTGCTTCAGCCGCGCATCAGAACTAACTGGTACAAGCAGTAAAAATGAAGCAGCAGACGAGATTTTGCTGCTCCTGCTGCGTCTGGTGTGAACGTAGCATACGTTTAAGCTGCGTTCACACCAAAAGCAGCAGAGGCAGCAGGAGCAGCTAGTTTACATGTAGGTGCAGCAAAATGTCCCACAGCGCGTCTGAGCAGCGCATCGGGAGGGTTTGAGCATCTGACGCGCACAACGCGCCACAAACGCAGCTGCTGCTCGAGTTGGAAAAATTGAACTTTTGCTGCTCGACGCGCCACAAACAAAGCTTGTGATATATGATTGGCGAATTTAGGTGTACAAGCTGACGTATAACTAACTGGCCTGCATAAAATAATGGGGAAAAACACAGATTTTAAGACAGGACTTTTTTTTTAAATAGAAATTTTCTAACTTTTGGGACAGAATGATGATTTGACATTTAATTATGATTTTCCTACGACTTTAAACCCCATTTTATACAAGATTTAGCAGTGTAATGGCAGCGGGGAAGAAGCTGTTCTGGAATCTGCTGGACCTGCATCGAATGCTTCCGATGTCACGGGCTCGGGACTCGCAGCACTTCGATGAAATGTCTTTAATGGAGGGAAGAGGAGCCCCCATGATCCTCTCTGCTGTTTCCACCTTCTTCCAGTCTGAGGCGCTGCAGCCTCCACTCCACACAGTGAGATAGCTGGTCAGAACGCTCTCTCCGGAGCTTCTGTAGAAGGTGATGAGGATGGGTGGGGGCAGGTGGGCTCTCCTCATCCTCCACAGGAAGTAGAAGCGCTTTTGGTCCCTTCTGACCAGTGAGGTAGTGTTTACAGTCCAGGTGAGGGTGTCTGTGATGTGCACCCCCAGGAATTTGGTGCTGCTGACCACCTCTACAGCTGAGCTGTTTGGCATCCCTTACTATTTTTAGCCCTCTAATAAAGATGATTGCAGTAGTAATACCCTCAAGTGGAATATTCAAAACATGTAAATTTCTGTGTTATCAATTATGCACATCAATACACTAATAAAGATAAGTATAGAATTCATGCTCTTTTCAGAGATAGATTTTGTGTTAAATGGGGTAAAATGATAAAAAATAAAGTGATGTCTCCACAAACCATCAAGGAGTCTTCAGTGAAATCATAGATAAATAACTATTTTAATAACAATGTATTTAATAATTAATTTATCTAGATATTAGTACTTGTAAATATTAATTTTATGCAGAAAGATTGATATAAGTAGGTAAGTAATGACAACGGAAAAGATGTTCGCCCCATAACTTAAACCTGAAAGAATTCCATCCACTATACCTTTTACTTAGAAAGCACGGATGTTTAAATATATGCCTCTGTTTATTAGCAAAGGCTGTAGGAAAGGATAGTTTGTATGCGGATGTTTTGCTCGTTAATTTTCCTGTTGGAACAGTTTAGACTGACCCTGAGGTTCTGGGGTCTATCCACCTTCGGTAACCCCTGGCCACGCCTCTGCTCCACACGTCAGTCAATAGCTGTGGCTCATAAATCCCTAAATGAGCTCAAATTGAACAAGTCATATTAGGTCCAGACAGCTGAGCCTTGCCGTTTCCCTTTAATGTCAGTAGTTTTGTTTTAAACTGAATCCAATTTTCTCCAGTTATCTCTATCAGTAGCATTCATCATGTCCCTTGTTGCTTAATTAAGGTAGTGGTTAAATATTCCAGGGGGAAATGTTACACTTCTTAAAGGAGCAGATGCGTAATTACTCTCCCCTGATTACTACAAGTCCTCCATGTATGCTGCAGTGATAAGGCTCTCTGCCCACGGAGGCACTGCATGGTGGGCATCCTGGATTACATTTTCTCATGCTTATTTAATTGATGTTTATTGATCACATGGGTGGAGCAGTTCGTCCATTTCAATCTGCATGTTTTCTAAACAAAAACAAGGCTTTGTTGGGCTAATCCATAAAGCCTCGAACTCAACGCTATTTCTGACATTTTGAATTGAAAAAGCTTCCTCGACGGGAAGTAAAATTGGATGTTTTACTTTTTTGGAATGAATTTGTTGATCTCACACTGGAAAAATTTACCTCTGCATTTATTTTTTTGTCAAGATCGTCGTTTTGGTTGATAACAGTTCTTTATCTGCCCAGGTTGAATAGGTTTACTCCAAATATGGCTGATTCACTTGTCTTGTTTGAAAGACTTGTCAAACAAAGTGGAATCATTCACTGGATATTATTTGATTGAATCGGCAGTTTTCAATCAAACTGAAAATGTTGCCTTTATTCTGATGGTGTCATGATTTTATTAAAGTTCTGACCCAAAATGCAGAAGACCAAACTGAAACCAGGGTAAAGTTTAACAGGTTTATTAAGAATATAAGATGAAATCCAGTGCTACTGAGTGTAGAATGAATCGAGTCCAGTGCAGCTCAGAACACTGCTCAACAGGGACTGAAAGGTGAAGGGAAGACACTGCGGTTAGTTCAGGCTCAGTGGGAAATTTGAATAGGAGGAAAAGGTTGCAGACTCACTTCTCCAGGAAAAGGTGTCCTTTATGGAATCCAGTCTGTGAGGATTGTTCCAGAGATTGTCTTGTTTGGTGATGGGTGGACTGAGTTACTCAGACTGCGGATGTTCCTTGGTGAACGGAGAAGCTGACTGCCACTCAGATTTCCTGCGGTACTTGAACAGGCTGCGGTGCTGATGAAACCATTGTTTGGTGTGAAGCTCAAACGACCTCTTGGGGAAAGTGGATCCAAACTTCCTGTTTGAAACCCCAGCTCAGTTAGAAGCTCAGTACCTCTTGGGGAAAGTGGATCCAAACTTCCTGTTTGGAACCAAAGCTCAGTTAGAAGCTCAGTTGAACCTTCCAGAGAGAAAAGGTCCGAATAAATCCAGTTTGCAGGATGACTTCCTGCCGAGAGGCAAAGACAAAAACAAAGTTAAGACTAGTGATGTTATAAGATGAGCCGAGGCTTCGAGGCGTGTGTCGAGTAATGGACGGGGCGTTTCCCCGATGCGCGTGTCGAGGCGTGATTCATTTAGAGTAGGGGCCAAAATTGATGACGTCCGAGGCCTCGCTACCGTGATACCACGTGACTTCGGGAAGTGGTTCAGAATGCGCAAGAATTTTGACAAGCATCTAAACAGCCTCAGTGTTCAGTGAAGATGTGGGAGTTTGGAGGAGAGATGCTCTCAGCTTGATGGATCGATTCTAATAATAGATTAGCTGGAAAAACAACCAATCTAGTTGCTAATTTGGCTAAAATAAACAATGTAATGATCAAAATTTGAGCAAACCACCGGACAAAGCCAGTGTTAACACGTCAGTGTTAAGAAGTATTTTCTCCTAAGCAAGTATATCTTCATAGGTGGCGTCAGCTGTAAGAGGCGGGCTCCCACTCTAGAGGTTGATGGTTCAAGACCTGTCTTTGACTTTTGAAAATTTCGATTAAACTTAATTATTTTGGCTGCTGAAACTAATTTGCATTGTTTTGCCCGAGTAAAAATATAGATTGGGTAAATTAG